AGTGTCCACGGTAAACTGCCTCCGGCAAAATGTTGCGGGATTCAATCAGTTTTGTTAAGCAGCCTTTGTGATGTACAAATAGTTAGTATATCTTTACCGCCAATCTGTGATTGCAATCTTGTAAATACTTTGCAGTTGTTATTATTAATATTTTATCAATCACCCTCTGTAAAATATATTTACAAGGTAAAACTACAAACTATAAAAAAGAGATAAAAAAATTATTATTTAGGAATGTTTTCTTCAAGTGTCTTTTTAAAAATTGTTCGCTGTTCTTTTACATTCCGACATTGAACCGCGTGTACCAAAATATGAAGAGCAGCTTCAGAAATTGCATCCTCTAAGACTTTAAGTTTTACTTTTTTTTAACCAGCATTAAGGTTTTCATATTCAGTTTATGATTGTCACATAATTCTTTTTTATCATCTAAAAAATAAAATTTAGCTGAACAGTAGTTAAGTTGTTAAGTTAATGACTTACTTTATTGTTTAAAAGGCGGATAAATAGATTTATTTTGTTTTGGTGTATATAATTTGACATCTTCTTAATTTTAAATAGAGGGTGAATATAGTTTTTACTATACTTGGAGACATTAAAAATTGATTTAACTGCGCTCCTTCCAAATGTGTCGAGTCTTTTCATTGTTGAATCTTTATTTTCACAGAGCTTTAGACCGTGGGTTAACGTCAGAACTGTTAATGATTTATTATAATTGGATAATTAGATCTTGGATGTGCAAACCGGATTCCAGATTGAATCAGAGTTTGCACTGTTGTAAAATAAACATGTAAAAAAAATTAAAAATTAGATTGTTTACAGTGTTTCTTAATCCAAACTTTGATAACCCAGGAAAAAAAGTTCTATAGAATTTTTTATAAACTTTTGAAACATATGGCTTATAGAAACTCTAAAGAATTTTTATAGAATGTATATTAATATCTATAGAAATTACTATAAGACTTTTTTTTCTATAAAAAATGTAAAAAGAAAAATTCAGTAGGAATTTTTATAGAAGTTAACAGAAACTCTATAGAAATTCTATAGAATTCTATAGAATTTCTATAGGCAATATGTTTCAAAAGTTTATAGAAAATTCTATAGAACTTTTTTTCCTGGTAATTCTCTCCGTCACCATGCACGGTATAAAGGCGAGAAAAATCAGTTTGCAGTAATAAACCTTGACTTTGTATCTTTGATAGACGCTCAAAGACATGTATACTAGAGTGTCCCAAATAACAACATTTTTGAAATTATATGCTGCCACCACCTTAATGTGTTATATAAGATAAACCCACAGGTTTTAAAAAAATTTTTAGGGGTCCCCCAAAACCCTTGATCATTTAATAAGTTTCTAATATTATAAGAAAAAAAATTATTTAAAAGTGTATAATGTTGGGTCTGAAATGAAGCGTAATCATATAAAAATTTCAAAAATGATAATTAGGGTAATATGAGCACATTAACCGAAAATTTGAATATTTTTAAAAACAGTTAGGATCCAAACTTTTTCGAAAAAAACAATTTTTCGGGATCCCTACACATGATCCACTTAGATATTTGGGCACCCAAAATTTTTTCTTAAAAACACAGGTTTTAAAAAAGTAGCTAAAGTGCTTATATTACCAAGACCACTTGGTAATATGAGTATTTTAAATTAGCTCAAAAAGATAACATTAAGTAAGTAAAAAAAATACAAATCTGACAATTAGAACTAATTTTTGGAATATAATGATTCATTATTAACAAAACTTATCATTAAAAAATTAAATTTTAAGCCACTTTTTGTTGAAAGTATACTACTATGTTTTCCAAAGCAACAATAAAAAAAAAAATTATTTTGTTAACTCAAACCCTCTGAAGACCGTAAGGAAGTAAGTAAGGATTTTTTTTTGAGGACCGTAAGGAAGTAAGTAAGGATTACAAAAATAATTTTTTTTGAGGACCGTAAGGATTACAAAAATAATTTTTTTTTTGAAGACCGTAAGGATTACAAAAATATTTTTTTTTTTTTAATGCATGGTTATAGGTTGATTTATTTACTCTAAAACTTGAAGAATGGTCAAAAAACATTATTATTTCGAAAACAAACTTGTATAAAATAATATAAAATAATTAAATTTGAAAATATTATGATAAAAAGGGTAGATGTATTGCTTAATATAATGGATGGGACAAATATGTCCCTTAGTCCTCAAAGGGTTAAACGATAAAAATTTAAAATTTTTGAATTTAATTTCCAAAAAAATATTTAGTAAAAGTAATAAAATTCTTCACTATGTTTTGTTTTTGTTAAAAAAGCAATCCATTTTAGGATTTAGGAACACTGCATGCTCATATTACACAAAAATGTCATCTTTAAATAAAGTCAAAAATATAAATCTATGCATTATTATGCTCCTATGCATTGCTTTTCAAACAAAAATGGATTAGATTTATAGCTAACATATTTTTCTTTATGAAAAAAATTAAATTTATTACTTTAGCACCAAAATATCGCGCCACAGATTTATTTATACGTAGTGATATTATTTTAACAACGTAATAAATTTAAAAGTGTTTTAATTAGATGATAGCCGCTAATTACTGCATATAAATTTACGCTGATTGTACTTATTCCTGTTATCACCACATAAAGTCGATTCAAAAAATACAAAGCAGCTTTAACTTCACTGCTTATATCTAAGAAATCTTTAAGTATACTCATATTACCAAGGTGCTCATATTACCCTAACCTACACTATATTTTAAAACACTCTATTGAAAAAATATATTGTAAAAGAAACTGATTAAGATTCATTTTTTTCTTCCTTTTTTATTTAATAAACTTCATTTTTAATGCTGTTAAGTCTAATATATTTGTTTTTATATAATATAGTTAAAACTATTAAAACTTTCACCCTAATGTATACACATTAAAAAAAGAAATTAAATTTTATATTTAATTTTTGGCACTTTTATAAAAAAATTTTTTGTCCCTCATCTTTTGGTGTCCCTATAATCTAGTGCACGTATGCTACTGTTGCCCCTCCCTTATGGCGCCCCTGGTTTTTGATAACTATTATGTAATAAAAACTTTTATTAAGCAATCTGAATAACAAGGGCCATAATTTTGATTAAATTCTTGATTTAATCTTTTAAATGTTGTCAAAATAATTTTTACTTGTTTTAAATCGTAAATATTGTCTTATTTTTTTTAATTCGCAAAACTTAAAATTTGCCATCTGAAATGTCTCAAATGCTTAGAAGAGAGTGGGGTATTGGCGAACGCGGGGTAACTCTGAACATGGTCAAAACAGAATTATAGAAAAATAAATTTGACAATTTCTTTTTACCTGCTAAGAGGGAATCCCATGCTCAGTTCCAGATATGCAGTAGTGTAATATTGTTGCGGATATTGTTGACTTTAATTTGATTTTAACTTTTTCTAATAATTTTATGCAATTTTTTTCTTAAGTAACATTCTGTTGTAGCTTCTATGTAAAGCCATTCCTTTTTTTTGCTGTTGTTGCATAGTATAATTTTTTCACTTAGTTATTACAATTAGCATTTTATTCGTTATTACACAACAGTGTTTGTGATTGCCCCCCGATGTGTTTTACCTCACATACTAAGGGTAATTCCAAACACCAATGGTTTTATTTTTGCCATAAACTTTTATTTTAAAATAAGATTTATAAAAATTACTTTTGAGGGTTTGTGAATGAATAGTTAAACTAATTAATAAGCAATAAATATGATCAATTTTGTATAGCTGATGTCTTTAATTCGCATTCCCGCTTAGGTGTTCGCTGATACCCCACTCTTCCCTATTAACTGTCTATATTCCTTAGTGAACCAACTATAAGATGAAAATAGCCTTTTTGAAGGGAGGGGGTATCACACACCCCTTACTGCAGTCTCTATTTGGGAAAGAGAAATGCAAGCATCTTATTCATAAAATAAAAACTTAATTTTCTTTTTATACTTTTTTTTATATCATTTCATTTTAAACTTTTATGAAAAAAAAAGTTCAAAATGTAATGATAATAAATCTAGATAAACCATTTATTGAATTTACTTGAGAAATGGCAAAAAAGTTATATTTTATAAAGACAATGCAGCTATTAATAGAGAAAACGAAACTTCTTTGTGGTCTTTTTCATCTCAATTACTAGTAACTACTCATCCATCATTGCTTAACTCAAAAAAATTTGAAATTGAAAAAAAACTTCTTTTTTTATGTACATGATTTCATAAGTTTATTTTGTAAACCTAAGCTCTACTTACATTCAATACGTTACGCTCAAAATGTGACTACGCTCATTGCCTCAACAAAAATTACAACATTATATCTTTTTTAGCTGTTAATATGATATTGTCTATACACTTGATATCAAAACTTTGATTGATGAATTCGCGTACAAGCATCAGTATGAATAAATGTACTTAATATTTAATCAAAAAGTGAGAAAAAAAATCTTTTTCTTTTTCTTTTTTAATTTGTTTAAAAGAATAAACTTATCGTTTTTAAATAGTTCGTTTTGAATATTTATAAAAAGAAAATAGTTCAAAAAAAAAAAAAGTAAGGAAAACCAATTGGTCAAGCATTGTAAGTAATTAATCCTCGGTATTGACGTTAAAAGTACAAAATTTATGGTAAAAAAATCTTGATCAAAATTTAAAATTTTGGTCAAAAATTTTACTGCAGCGTTTTTTATTTAAATATTCCGAAATAAATCAGTTTTTTTATTTTAATTCCTGTTTTTTGTTAGATATGATTTTACAGGACGTAAAACTCAGGCAAATTTGTTCTCCTCTTTATTGTTAATAAAAAGAAGCAAACAAACAAAACTAAGCATAATTTTTTATTTAATTACAAACTAGAAGCTTATTGAACTTATAGCTTATTGAAAATTTATTTTAAAAAAAATTGCTCTATAAGTTGTTGGCAATGCTTCTTGAAAAAATAAGTATCTGTTTCAAATTATTAATCAATACAAACAAAACCAATACAAACATACCCAACCAATTCATACCAATTAACATAAATTTTCTTTTCTAAAACATTTATCTATCTCAAGTTAACGGTTGGATTAACTTCAGAAAAATCTAATTTCTTCAAAAACAGTTAATAATTATTTATATTGCGTTAGCATTTTCCATATAGAATAATTAAGTAAACAATAGATAAAATAACCGTTTCACAAGTTTAAAAAGACTAAATGAAAGTGATAATATTATTAATATATTTAGTATAAAAATTTTAAATACATTTCTCATTGTTTCTTTTTAAATATTTTTAAATATATAAAGGGGATATTTATAGCATATATTAAAACCAACTATAAAAATGAACACTTTTCCAAAATACATTTGTTTTTAAACAACAAAATAAACGAGAATATTTTTTGCATAAAAAAAAAAAAATTGTTTACTGAAAATATACACCATCTTTGTATCGGTTTTTTTATTAAAAATTATTTGCGTTTATTAGAAACCTTAAGAAAAAAGTCAATTTAAACGGATCTAAACAAATTCAGAGTATAGCTCCAAAATTTTTTTTTACAAAGAGAGATAAGTTCCAGAAAACATTCTTAAAGCGTTAAACACTTTAAAGAAAAAATATCGAGAAAACTGCTGCACAATAACTACTTGAAGTATAAGTTAGAAACATCGAGACAAATATTATAATAACGCTGCATTTCCTCTAAGAAATTATAGTCAGATTAAATTCTGATAAGACGATTTTTTGTACCAATTATTATATTGACTTATTATATTTTCCCAGGCGTTGGATATAAGTTCTTTTTGTGATAATTTTAGATCCTTTTTTTTATTATATTTTGGATCTTCAAAAAATATAATTTTTCCAGGTAACTTTTTTTTGGCTTCTGTAATTTGTTTTGCTGTCTCTCTCCAAAATAATATATCTTTTGATATAGTACTTTGATTTTTTTGTATTGATGAAACTTTATCAGAGTCACCTTTTACGGGTTCTCCTTTTTCATCGTCATCTTCATTGTCATCTGTAAAATCTCCCGAACCTGAATATTCTACCATTTTTGCATGCTCATTTTCAATGCTTTCTCCCAGTACTAGACGAAAAATAATTTTGTTGAAAATAAAAGTTTTATAATAAAACAATATAATGAAAAATGAATAATAATAATAATAATAATAATAATAATAATAATAATAATAATAATAATAATAATAATAATAATAATAATAAAGGAGAGTGGACCCAATGAACTTTGTAGCAAATGCACGTGTCAAAATTACATTTGTTTTCGCACAAAAAAAACTGAAACAAAACTAGGTTCTACAAAGTTTATTTAAGTTTTGCACTACAGTTAAATATTATACCTTTAAAATAGTTGTGAAGATTTTGCAAAAATTCAATATTCCCGCACTTTTTTTTCTTCAAAAATCTCCTTTTAATATCATTTAGGAGTTCTTTAATAGTATGCAGAGTATCAGGATCTTCAACTTGACAAATAGATTTGGTAATATGCTCGGTTAAACAAATTTCCAGATCTTTAGAATTGCATTCTACCATCAAACTTTTCAAGGTACCAAGTTTAAGTGCACAGTTGAAATGCAAAGATCTTTCGCATTCTGAAGCAAGAAATTTTATTTACAGAAACATTAATAGAAAAAGAATCCAATTTTGAGAAAGATATTTTAAGAGATTTTGGTGTAAAAAAATTTAGGGAGAAAATATTAATTTAAAATCCTATTCACTCACCAGTCATTTGTTTATATAAGGAATTAGTTGTAGGTGACGCTGTACTCGTGGAGTTGTTATAAACTGATGATTTTGAAGTAAGTATAGCCGCTGCCTGCAGAGGAGTGATTAATAAGATGAAAGACAATACAGCAAGTATTTGCAAGTGTAGGTCAGTTCGCTTTTTTCTACCTACGTACATTTTCGAAAGCACACCGGATTTTCAATCTTTTTGTAGGTGGTTCTACATAAAAAGTTCTTCTGCATCAATTTGTTGTTTGCAATTGTAATTTGAAATATATTTTTATAACTTGTTTTGTGTTCCCAAACACTGTATTTATATTTGTTTTGTTTTTGTCTAAAGAAAAAATATATAATTTAATAAACTGTAAGAATGCATTCTTACTCTCCAATAAATAATTTAATATATTAAAATCAAGATAAAAATTTGGCAAATGCAATAACATTAATTATCACAAACACATTCAACCGCAAAACTGAATGTCCACACATTAAATGCGTGGTCGTTCAAATTTCCTATACGTCCTGGTTACTTTTCAGTATTATTTCGATCAATACAATAACAGTTACATTCGTGTACAGTTTGCCAAAATAATAACTCGCTCTTTTTTTTTTTGAGTTTTAAAGTACTTTTAGCTTCAAAACAATTAACTCATGATTTTTTATTAAAATAATTTATTAAAAGGTGTAAACAAAGGAGTCTTTAAACATGCACTCATATCCAAAAACCTGGTCATTTGTCTCTAAGTATTTTGTTCTGCTGTTCATGTCTTCAAAATTTTACTAGTTTCTTAACAATACTGCCAGCAATCCTATATTAAGTTTTAATATCGTTAAGTACGTTAATAAAACAACAACATTTAATAAAACAATAACAAATCACAACACATTTTTGTTCCAAGATTTCATATTGTTTTTCTTCCCAATTAACATGAAACAATAATTTTGGCTTTTAAAACATTTCCAAACCTCATAATTATTTAATTTTTATTTAGTCACTTGCTTTCTGCAATATTCTGGATTAAATCCAAAGGCTTAGTCCTTGAAGACAAAACCCATGGAGATTATTTACCGGTTTAATTACCGGTTCATTATTTTCGTGACAATCAAGTAATTAGTAAATGTAATAAGAAATAAAAAAAATATATCAATTGACAAAAATAAAAATAAAAAAAATCATAATTCTTACTGAAAATAAAAATTGAATATTTGGTCGAATTCGAAAAACAACAGATTTATAACAAACTTTGTTTATTAGTAAGTTAATTAAATAAAAAAGTTAAGTAAATTTTTTTTTTTTTTTTTAATAGCAAAAATCTAATTTCTCAAAAACTATATATAAATTACTACTTATAAATTACATGCATACTTAAATAATACTCATAAAGGATGCGCACTCGCAGTGTTGTTTTTAAAATACGGCTCGGATAAAAATACGTAAAACTAAGTGAGAGTAAAGCTTAAAATGTACTGAGCGTCGACTACTTGTCAATGTAATTTTCGCAAAATTTATGCGTAATTCAAAATAATTCAAATAAATAAAATAAATATGTATACGCTATATGTTTCTTGTTACCTGTCAGTCAAAGACGCCCTTGAGCGAAAATATTTTTTTTTTTAGCTGTAAATTTATTTAAAACGCGACTTCAAACCTCATATAAATTATGAAAATAAACAATATTGCAGTTATCTAGCGACTCCCTTTTAGTGGTTTATAAATACACTGTAGGCTGGAACGTAAGAAAATAGAGGAGTTTTTTGCTATGAATCAAACTCCTTTATGAATTAATGAAGCTTGATTTATCAAAACACCTTGAGTTTGGTCTATTTATAAACGAATTTGAACTATCATTTAAAACCCGCGATAACATTGCAGATAAACTAAGAAAAGTTTTCACTAAAATAGTAGATATATATATTTTATACGTTATTAAATCGAACAAGAAAAACCACTTAAAATAAGATGGTTTTTACAATATCTTATTTTTCAATAAAAAGTATTAAGATTTATCTCAATTGATGTATATGACTTTCTTTGTCTGTTTAGATCCTCAGCAAATTACAACATTCAAATAAAAATAGTTGATATTGCTATTATAACTTCAACTAACAATAATAAAAATAATAATAATATCAACAATAATAATATTGTTATCATTATTCATTTTCATTAACATTATCAATCACAAATAAAAGTGTAAGATTTTACAAGTACGCAAATAAATAAAAATAAATAAACTTTCCCTACACTTAGCGTGTAAATTGAGAATACTGCGTATAGTATTCGCGCGATTTTTCGGTTTTCGATAAATAAAAATTACTTTTAAGACGGAATTATATGACGTAGTATTTTGTTATATCCGAAATTTTATTAACACTATCACGTTAAAATTTATTCCGCTTTTATAAACACTTCCAATAATTTATTATCGTTCTGCAGTTGCTAAAATGTTTAAAAAAAGTATACAAATGCCAATGTATATTATGAAAAGCAATCAAGGGAATAGTTTCAAACCGTGATAATATTAACTTTATTTCTAATATAAAAATGTCATTTAAAACATATAGAATAATTCTTGTAATAAATCAGCAAAGAGTTACCGCCGACAGGACGTAAAAAAGAATATAATTTTTTTCATTATATTAGCTTTGCAATATATATATATATATATTTTTTTTTAAATTCAAAGGAAATATAAAAATGAGTAACGTAAAATTTAATTTGAATACTTTAAAATATTTTTTTATCAAAATATTATAAATATATGATATAATATACTTTTTGCAGATTTTGTTTGATGTCAATAATAAAAAGACTTACCTTCTAAAAAGTGGGGGAAAAAAATAAAATTGAATTTCTGAGGTATTGTAGTGAATTAAATTGATGACGCTTCAAACTAATGTTTTGGAAACAAACTCTCAACTATAAAGCTTAAAACAATATATACTCCCGTAATAATTTTTGTTGCTTCAAATAATATTATTTTACTCGTCTCCAAACTGTATTTGAATTTTTTTTTTTTCTTAAAAAAAAAGTAGACAGTTTAAAACTGGACTCCTTTGTCTACACAATAATATTGGTTATGGAATAGTGCAATTAAAGAAAGAATTTTTAACACTTTATAGTTATGCTAACTATTCCGTCGGTATGCATTTAATGTATTCCGTCGGTGTAAATATTCAAAACATTTTTCGGTAGTTAACCTACCATATTTATCATGTATGCCGGCAATTTAGTATTATGCAGATAAGTGTGTTAATAAATTAAAAAAAGAAAACTACTTCATCTATACTTGTGTAGCTAAGTAGCTAATAAAATGCTTCATTTGCTAAAAAAAGTTTTAGTTAAGTTAAACTTAAAACTTGAAAACAAATAATAAAGAAATAAATCTGATCGTCTACTTTGTTTCAAATCGTAAAACTCACAAGGGATTTCCAATTTAGCCATTTAAATTAAATTAACGTTTATAAAACATAAAAAAAACCATGCAAACAACTATCGTCTTTATTTCTACATTAAAACTTACTTGAAATAAAACGTGTGAACATAATGTCATAGAAACCCCTTAAGGAAATTCTGTTAAATTCTTCCGTTGTACTCCATTAACGCGTATTATGACGATTCTTATACAATGAACTAATGAGATGTCCTTTTTAAAACCAGTTTTATGGAAGCTCTTTGGCTCGCTTTATATTTCTTAATATGTAAATAGAATAGAGCTAAGCTTTTTAAAATCTAACCCATAGATCGCATTTAAATAGTGCTTTTTTATAAACGGACGGTAAAAAACATTTTTTAAATCAATGTAACGATAAAGGTCACCGGAAATGTATTAATTATTATTTTAACAAATCTAAGTGCATTGCTACAGCGGGTATATATAAATATACTTAAATCTTTTTCTTGTAAAATAATCTCGCTTGTTCAGTTAATTCACTGAAATTAATTGCGTAAGTTCAGTTAATTAAGAGAAAATATTTAATTATTTGAAAAGACTTCTTAAAATATTTATCGTAGAATTAATATATATCTATGCAAATAAATATTTGGTATAAAGAAATATTTTTTTAAATACCTAAAAACACAAAATACTTGAAGCCTTTATCCCTTACTTTCTCTGTTTTCATAATAACCTTACTCGTTTCATTAGATTGGCTGTTTTAATAATAATTTTCCACATTTCATTAGATTGTCCTTTAGTGGAAGAAATGACGTTTTGTTTATATAATCAATAACCTATTTAAATAAATACTCTATGCATAATTTTGAGTTAATATCTCCATTTCTTTTCGTATTAACAAATTTCAATAATAAACCAAGCAAAAGATCAGACATTTTAAATCTTCTTTATATTATTCAGACCATCAACTTTCTATTATTATTTTATTTCATATACTTTAGAGGATTATGCAAAATTTTATTAATAAATAATGATCTGTAAAGATGTAATATATCAGCGTAGCTAATTTGGATGTTTTTTACTATTTTTATTTTATATAAAGAAATATACAACTTTAAAAAAGTACAAGAAAAAGATTTAATGCGTGAATGTTTTACATTGACTTTTTTTATTGTTTTGTTTTTTTGTTTTGTTTGTTTTTACTATTACTATTATTATTAAAAATAGAATTTTTAATGGAAAAAAAAAAGTTTGTAAATTATGTTTTTAATGCTGAAAAGCTCAATCAGACAACTTTGTATACATAAAGTTGCAGTTTTAGTAATACATAATATGTAATTAATTTTTCTGCACACAATAATTTTTTCTTGGTGCTTGCAGCAAGTTATTTATTTATATTTTCCGAAGTTCATTATTTTATAAATTTTTATAAAATCTTGAACAAAGAATTGTTTTCAAAACAACATTTAACTTTTTTTTTTTTAAAAAAAAAGAAAGTTTTTTGCAATTCTAAGCTAAATTGCGCATGTACAATGCAACCCTGTGGTCACGCTTTTTTCCGAGGGACGTCTGGACGTCCGCGAGACGTCCGACGGACGTCCCCCGGACAACGTATATCAACTGGGAAAATAAGCTACAGCTGTACACTGCAAAATATGCCGCTGAAAAGAAAAACCTGAAAGTTGGAACTTATCTGGTAACTACTTTTATATACCTTGAAATAAATTGGTTATTTTTCTCGAAACTGGTGCGTGTCGTAAATGTACAGAAGAAACAAGGGCAGATCCATAGGAGGGAAATTGCTTCCCTTAGATATTTCAAAAAAAAAAAATTAATAAATTTTCATATTTAACAAAGCATGTTATTTGAAAATGGAAGTAAATTAGGGAGGCTGTTTAAAAGTGATAATTATCTATGTAGTGAAATTATCTATGTAGTGCAAATAAAACTGTTGGAACTGTTTCATAGTTACGTAATTTCATAGTTACGTAATTTCATAGTTACGTAATTTTATAGTTACGTAATTTCATAGTTACATAGATTAAAAAGGTGTAGGACTAGTATTCTAAAAAAACCAACTAAAAGGTTTTGTGAATTGCCCCCTTCCCCTACATTATTTTGGATCCAACAAATCAAAAAAGATTTTATCTTTGCGGACAAGAAAAAACTAATGAACAAATAAAAACAGATAAATGATATTGAACCAAACCTGCTTATGGTTTAAACTTTTGATTTTATTGAGAGGAATTAAAAATCAGATTGATTATCTTATATACTATCTTTTTTTTTTTTTGGTCTACTTTCTGCTGGTTTAGCAAAACGTTTCTAAAACTCTCACAATTATAGTAAAAGTTTCTTTCAAAAATATAATAGGTTTTCATGTTTACCGTAATAAAAAAAAAGAACAATTTTTAATAAAAATGATAAGACAGTTTTTATTTTCGTAAAAAATTACTTACAAAAAAAAAGCAAAAACATAATGTTTAATTAAACTATTCGCTTCGCTAACAGATATAAGCTCTTTGTTCACATTTTCATATACCTTTTTCTCTTTTTTAGCTTTGAAAGCAAAAAAACAAAACAAAAAAACTACTACTGCAAGTACAAATTTCAAAAATGTCTATAAAAACCTGATAAACCGTAAAAATCAGAACCAATTTAAAATTTAAAAAAAACACCTAGTGAACAATTTAAGTACCTAGCAACCAATTAAAATAAGACTGAAAAAAAAAATCGGTTATAAGAAATGATGCAATTAAAAATTGTTCTTCGCTATCAAAACTTAACAAAAGCTGAATTTCAGCCTCTGAGTTTTAGATTATCTATTAGCGACAATAACACGACCAATAATTGTTGGATTAATTATCAATAAATGAACTTTATTTTTGTTTGTCGTCGGCAAAAAAAATTAAAAGGAAAAAAATAAATAAGAAAGGGGCCAAAGATCAAGCAAAAAAAAATTCATTAATTTCATCGCTTTTTCAGAATTAAATATAAATCCAACCTCAAAAACAACTACGTATTTTAAGATAAACTAACTGTTTATGGTATGAGAAATTCTTACAAATATTTTAATTAAAACTTTTGATAATGCGTATTTTTAAATTGAAAATTATCAGTATATAATCAATCTTTGGAGTCTAGTCGCAAGTGAAAAAATTACGTTATATTTTGCGCAAAATACAAACTCTGATAAACTCTCTGATTTCACTGTCTATAAAAGCTCATTCCCAGACTGTAAAATCTCTTGTATTCTCTCCATGTATTCATTATTTACGTATTATATAATCTCCGTGTATTCTTTTTTTATTTTATTGGTAAACTAAGTTTAGTTGTATTTTTATTTATTTACAAAATATTTCTTTTTAAGTAGTATGGCCTAACAAAAAGTAATGCGACTAGTGTTTAAATACTGCCTCCGTGATACAGCTAGTTATCCGCAATCCATGATCACGGAGGCAGTTGACGGTTAAGTTAAAAATACTGAATTTATATTACAAAATTTATAACAAATCATTTGGTTTGTAACTCCCAAATAGCACGGTCCATTTTTAAAACGTTTCTTAGACGTTTTTATTAGGTTTAAATCTAATAAAAACGTCCAAAAAATGTTTAAAAAACGTCCGTGCCCACTGGGTAGAGTTGCAAACCAAACGAATTATAAATTAATATTATAAGCAAACATTTTATTTATAAATATATTAAAAATAAATATGGTATTTGAGGTCTAATATTTGCTAAAAGGTTTTTTTTTGAAAAACCTCTTGTTTTACAGCAAAAAAACGATGAATGGGGTTTACAAATATCTTTCACAACGATGAATGGGGTTTACAAATATCTTCCACAAAAAAAAAAAAAAAAAGAAGAACATCGTTTACCGTTTATCTTCCAACCATTCCATCTGGAGATAAAAAACATTTGATTCATGCTCAGTTTACTTTAAAACAATTGCACAACTTTTATGTTTTCTAATTCATTAAATGTTTTTTTTTTCTTTTTTTTTTTTTTTTTTTTTAATTCATTAAATGTATAAGGGTATGACCAAAATTTATAATTGGGAGGTCAAGATGAAGGTATTAAAATATAATTAGAAGATATAATTGAAAGGTCGAGATAAGGTTAATTAAAAGTGCAACTTGGAATTAAAGAAGGTTGAAAGGTTTTTAATGGCATAACTAAAACCCAATTTGAAGAAGAGTTCCAAGAGAAGTATGAAAAAGTAAATAACTGAAAGTTGTTAGAAGATAAAGAATAGAGGTTGCAAACGAGGCTTTTATAAACTAAATTATAAACATTTTTCGTATTTAAAAAGTGAGAGCAACAACAATGAGCAATACAAAACATGTTTCACACCATCCACCATCCACAATATGTTAAAACATGTTTCACACCATCCACAATATGTTAAAACATGCTTCACACCATCCACAATATGTTAAAACATGTTTCACACCATCCACAATATGTTAAAACATGTTTCACACCATCCACAATATGTTAAAACAGGTTTCACACCATCCACAATATGTTAAAACAGGTTTCACACCATCCACAATATGTTAAAACAGGTTTCACACCATCCACAATATGTTAAAACATGTTTATGGCTAAGTGGACGACAGTTTTTAATTTTTGAAATTAACAAAGCATTATTTACAAA